GATACGTTGCTGGCGTGGGTGAAGCCATTCGGCGGAGGGAATTCCACAGATTGTTTCAGTGGTGATGTTGAAAGAAGCCATCGTGACGGCAAGGATCTTTCACTGGGCGTATTTAACTGTGAATGCATAGAGAGTTACAGCGACTATTAACCATCAGCTGCTACCTCACGAGAAGCAAGTTGCACTTCACGCTCTGTCATGCGTTAATGTTTTTGACGCTCTTGAGTCACCTTGATTGTATTCAACATTTAATATTCTTTACCGAGGTCAAAATGAAAGCATTGTTTTTTGTACAATGCATATTTATCATCTTCAACCTGACTACGGTAAATGTACTAGAAGGGTAGAGTGAATTTAACGAGGCGGCTGCCCCGAATCTCATGGCTGATTCTCCGGTGGGTGACAGCAGCGGCGGTGCTCTAATGACATAGTACTGTAGATCTCCGGGGCACCTGCTTTGGAAGCACGCGCACCGTAGACTACGAAAGCGCCTAATCACTCGTTTCCAGCGCGTTTATTGCGTTTTTGAGCCATGATAGGTGTATGCATATCTGCTACGTACCATGGTGCACCAGTGCATAGGCAGGCATGCGGAAATTGATTCGTGACATTCACTGTTTCTAGTGTTTGACAACCCCCCCCCCCACACACACAGAAACACACACAAAAAACATGTACAATCGGAATTTTCACGGATCCCCCTACCTTCTTATTCAAGTGGTGCGGTGAGCTGCGCTCTACCATAAGGGCTACACTGCGAAAAACTGCGCGTATTTATGAACAGGAAAGTGGGCATAGTGTCCAGGAATTGAACACACTCCACCCCTTCACCAACATCAAGGATACAGCGGATGTTGAAGAATCACAGACTTCACCACTTCACGGATATTATGGATACAGCACACTTTCTAATAATGTTTCTCTAAATAGTGCAAAAAAAACAAGTGTCTCCTTCGTCAAAAAATTAGACGAAAGTAATGATTTGCAATACGGATGACTTCCAAAAATTTACACTAATATGGCTATCGCATATCATCATTGCATCCATCGCCACGACGTGTTCTGCACCGCTTTTATTCTACGAAACTGTATTTGTTCCTAAACGGTGGTTTGGGCGGGCATTGAGGAAAGAGGAACCATTAGACCACGGCGGGCGCACCGCCATCGTCACTCATTCGTCGGCATTCACTACTCTACTCACTAGCCCGATTACCTTCCTGAAAGGCCTGGACGCACACATAAAACAGAACTCGGCTGGCGCTGCTTTTTTATCTGGTCTGCATCTTGGAGGTGAGTGCCTAACTTCTCATTTACTCGCCATTTGGGTTACTGCTCGTGCCACTAATGATCTGTGTCTTATAGTACCTACGCAATATCTCAGATTAGGCCAGTTCGAGTAAAGTCGAGGCCAACAACGCAGTGCTCTTTTGTCGATGTCATTTTCGCGCGGCTTGTATCATGCATGCTTTTTCTGAGACGAAGTGCGTACTGGGAGCAGAAAATACAGCATTTGCAGGAATCTTGAATTGGTTGTAATGATCGTGTTCACATTTTGAGCGTGACATTTTCATTGCGCTCTGATTACTTGTACACAGCAGTTGCATTAATTTAAGCCAAGTGTTTGGGCTTGTCAGCACCCTAGTGCAGGCGTGTAAAATGTGCGCCTCCTTTTATGCTGGCGGCGTTAAGTGAGCCTTTGTTTACAGTGCTGACACGTGCTGCGCTATAGTACGAAACAATATTCACCATGAAATCTTGGCGCGCTGCAGCCTATCGGCGTGTTCTCCTCGTCGGGCAGAAGTTCATCTCCATGTTGTCTAATAAAAGGTGGCTGGCGGCAGGAAGCACCGAGGTGCGAACAGCCAGAGAGAACTTTTAACTCAAGAAACTTAGAACAGCACATAAATTCTTCCCGAAAACTAGAAACCCCGACTCATAAAGCGCGTTCTAAAAATAATAAAAAGAATCTGTGCTTTGCCTGCCGCTGTGGCATAGTGGTTATGGTGGTCAGCTGCTAACCCGAAGGCCACGTGTTCAATGTCCGCTGTGGTAGTCGCGTTGTGATGGACGGGTAGTCGTAGAGACCCGTGTACTGTGTAATATAGATATGACCACATAATAAAATTTGCGGGCCCTTTCACTAAGGCGTCCTTGGTAATGACATCTAGAGTTTGGGATAAAGCCCCAATAGTTCTTTTAAAAATCTTTTAGTCTCCAATTTGGTTAGTACAAAATTTTCTGCGTAGTTAAATCGTAGAATTTTCAGTAAATGAAGAATATGATTGATATTGAATATATTTTTATAGAGAGATAACTTTTATTGAAATATCATATATTGCATTAGCTGATTATCAGAGTATTTTTGCTGTAGGCAAAGAGTAAGCCGATATGTGTAAAGCGCGAAATAACTTTTTTAGCTGGTGAAAAGTTAGAACGTTGTGTGTTTTTGCACATGTTTGGTAGTAACTTTAGCATTGAGGTGGTCCTAGTAACAAACTATGGAAATAACACATTAAGTGTTAACCTTCATTGGTTACTGTCACAGAAAGTCATCAAATCTTTTTTTTATAGAGAGATAACATGTATTGAGTTATGATAGTTCGCATTAGCTGATTATCAGAGTTTTCTTTTTGGGGCAAAGATAATTCGATAGGGGTACAGTGCCAAATAATTTTTTCTGCTATTGAATAGGTTGCGAAGATATTGCTTTTTGTTAATGTTAAGTTTAGCACTGAAGCGGTCCGAGTAAAGAATATAGTGAATTACACATTTATTTGTAACCTTCATTGATTACTGTCAGAGAAAGTCATCAAATGGCTTTTCATTTTAAGAGATGACAATTTTTTTGATGTGGTTGCTGGACTCTGTGCTTGCCCGTGTTTATACCTTGAAGCAATGCGTCCTTGTGGTGAGTACTAGCTGCACAGGCCTGAGGAACATTTATAAAACATATTGATTCCGCCTGTGCTTACTTTATTAGCTTGCTATCTAGTACTCGTCAGCATGAGTCAACGAGAGATCCAAACCGTAATAGGGTTCATTTAACCACATGCAGCTATCATCTGACAGTTCGAATAGCGTGCTCATGCAACACTGGTAAGTGACACCGATACATGCAAGAACTTATTCCCTGTACGATAAGATTTAGAAGTGGCAAGAACATCACAATTAAGAAATGATCTATTGAAAGCAGAAAAAAAGTATATGTTTTTGTCATGAACCAATACAGCTGTATTGAAGAGAAATTGCCTGCAAATAAAGTGACAATATGGTGCTTCCTGCTGTTGAGTATTTGCAGCAACGCTTAGACGCACGGATGAAAAAAAAAGAAATACGAAGGCACTGCCAACTACTGGCGTTTATTAAATCCTCTGCAGATTATATGGCTGATTTTATCTGCATGTAATGACTGCTGGCCAAGGATTGGAAAGGTTAAAAACAGGTAAAGCATAGCGGGCGCTATTCACGAAGGTAGAAGATTCTTTAAGGTAAAGCTACATTAAAAATTTTGTTCTTTTCCTTCTGTTCTGTTTGAAGTTTGCAGGGTGAGAGTTAATTAATTTTTGTAATGTCACTTTCATCTTAAAATGGAACAGAGTTGATACCTTATTGTTGTTATTGAAATAGAATCAATTCATTTTTTCACTTGGAAACTGAGCTGATACCATGATATTGCGACTGAAATAGAATCAATCACTTTTTTTATTTGAAAACAAACATTACAATTTATTTTGCAGAAGCTTTTACATTCGCAAAAGGTATGCCTTTTTGCGCACTCTCTCGTGTATGTGCTTTGGTCATTACTAGCTTATAAACTATAAATTGGTTTACATAAGGGTTTGCAATAGTGACAATTTTTCTATAATAAATTGTAAAGCTCCTATTCTTTTCAGAGAGAACTGAAATAATACAGGGCAAGTATTTGGCTCGGGTGATTAGTGTAGAGATGTTTTTGAAGTCCATATACATTTATTTTTAAATTTTCTTGCATATATTTCATTTAACGCACTCGCTATACACATAATGTTTTTTTTTTAAGTTCTGTCAGTGTTATATCTTGGATATTATTTTTATTCACAGTGGAGCAGAGGGCACATAAATAACTTTAAAAATGTGGTTTTTAAACATTATTGTGGACTAAATTCTATTTCAATACAGTGATTCTAATGATTTGTGGAGATCGATTTCATGTGAAAGATTCAATGGCAAGCTGTCTTGGCTGCAGTTTTTTGCTTCGTGAGTCAATCGTTACTAAGTTGATATATATTTTTGTGTAAAATTAGGAGCTGTCAGCATAGCAAGCGCTTACCAGATATGTCAATCCCACTGATGCCTCAGGAGTAGCTGATGGTACAATATTATGCCTGCACTCACATCTGTTCTTTTAAGAGCACAGACTTTAGGTTTGTCAAAATTAGGTGCATGCTATGGTGCCATGATGCGCATATCATCATTTCTGCCAAGTAAAAAAGCGCTTCATTGTAGATTGTTCCGTCATATATGAGTACAAATATATTGTTTATTACACTGTTTGAAACAAGGATAGCCAACATTGCAGACATACTTGACATTGCATCAATACAATGCCTGATTAGTCTTTTCTGGAGCATTTACAACCGCTAGTGTGGCTATGTACACTAGCTGGAATCCTAAAGTTCAAATGCAGCCGCAAGTGATACTTACTACATTTTTTCTCTGAAATTTTTCACTCGTTGTGAAGCTGCTATTATTGGAAACAGATGTACTGTAGTACTGTCTCCATGATGCTTACTGAGAGATTTACAAAGTGCATTCTTGCTGTTCCTCAGTTAACATAGGCAGTGAATCACACGTGGGTCACACCCACATCCCAGAGACAGTAGCGTGAAAATATGCACACACGTGACTGATTAAAAAGGTTTGACATTGTGTTAGACAAGCATGTCACATTAATCAAGTCACGGGGTCATGACATATCAGTTACAAAGTCACACTCACTATTTATTCTCTTCCAGGTGCTGCTTGTATTGTTCTTGGACCATCCTGTCACCTCTCATGCCAGCGCCACTATGACTGTTCATGCCACAACCACCTTGCTGACCAGATGTTACAGGAATTTGTGTCAGCGCATCACCAGCAAATTATCAAGTGCCACTATTTTCGCTGCATCCTCCGCTGCCCATTCTGGACGATTCAGCGTTCAGTCCAGCAGCATAGAACGGTGACAGGTGATCAAGCAGCTCTTGAGCACACCCATATTAGTGTTGCGTGAGGCTACTATCACTACAGTCAAGATTTCATAGTCATTGTTAATGTTCTTCCATGCTTGTGAGTGTCAAACAAACCTGTATCGTGTAAATGATGCTCACTTTGTTGTCATTATCCTGTTCGAAATTCGCTTTGGACATTGCGCATTCAAAACATAGCCTTCGAAAGGTGAACTTCAGAACTCGCAGTTGTAATTTTTGCGTTGAATTTTACACTGGCAACCTCGCGTCATAGTGAGTGCAAATATTTAGTGCGACAACCTAGCAAGAGTACTGTAAATATCGCTGGCACATTGTTACTGTGTTCGACAGCATACCAAATTAGTAAGCTAGAGCACAAAATTAAGCTGGGGCATCGAAAGTTTCGTTCGTATTTTACATTACTTCAATGGGATGAGCAGCGGTGCGATGAAGGAGTTTGTATGAAAAGTCAGCAACTATACCTTGATCTTGAGAGCCCATGCTTAGGCCACATTTCACCCAGTAAAATCAGACCCATCATTGCCAACCTGTATAACAATCAAGAAGTTTATCCTGTAATGAGTAGCAGCTTCCCTGTTGAAAGGCAAGGCTTCTAGCAGGAAGTTCGTAACATTTTTTTTCAAATATGAGTGCAGTATTTTCAAATATGAGCAAGTATACTTGCCGGCCTTTTTGACAGTATACATTTGTTACTTGACATGGGCTCTCAAGTTGATGCATTGTTTTCATATTTTTCTACAGCTTTGGATAGGGTTTCTCGCTACATATTGTCGTGAGAGGAAACGATAGACAGGAACTCGAAGTGGACGACCATTTACTCAGCCACAGCAGCCTTTCGCTTCTTCGCTCTCTTCTTCTGCCACCAACAAAGCGTGGCATTACCCTCTCCCCAGAGAAAAAAAGAAGAAGCATCGCATGAATTCCGTGGCTCGAAAAAACAACGAACGGTAGTCAGAAATGTCTGTGTTCATTGAGAAGAAAAAGGAAAACACGAAAAAGTAAGAAGGAAGAAAGAAATCTACAATTGTCTTGAAGGCAAGTGCCACATCACAAAGTTCTTGACTTGCAGTCAACGCGAATAGCCAGGCTTCATCCTGAAGACGTGAATCACATTCGAAGAGCGTGGTCTACGATACAGTGCGATGTGTCTGCTGGGACAACTTCGTAGTCCACTTCGCCGAGGCAATGAAGAACTTGGTAGGGTCCGAAGTACCGAAATGAGAATTTTTCTGAGCGTCTACGTTGACGTATAAGAGTCCAAATCTTGACTAGGGCGCCGGCTTCGTATACTACTGTTCTGTGGTGGGTGTTGTACCGGCGAGTATCTTGATTTTGCCGTTATAAAATGCGAAAGCGCGCCAGCTACCGGGCGTCTTCGGCACGCTGAACAAGTACACCTGTGTTCAGGGTAATCGTGTCCGGCGGAGTTGGTTGCAGCATGATGTCAAGCATTGTGGTGACGTCGCGGCCGTAAACCAGATAAAAAGGAGCAAAACCGGTGGTTTCCTGCAGGGCCGTATTGGTGGCAAATGTTATATACGCGAGGATTTCTTCCCAATTCTATTGATCCTAAGCGACATTCATAGGAAGCATATCTGCAATCATTTTGTTAAGGCGTTTGGTTAACCCGTTAATCTGCGGGTGGTACGCAGTTGCTGTTCGGTGCGTCGTGCCGCTCAGCAACAGGGTCTCTTCGAGCGACTGTGTCCATAAAAACAGTGCCACAATCTGCGATGACAGCAGCGGGAGCCCCGCGGCGGAGAACGATGTTCTTGAAGAAAAAGTTGGCCTCCTCGGACGCAGTCGCTCGCTGGGTGGCTTGTGTTTCGCAGTATCTGGTCAAGTAGTTGGTGGAAACCAGAATCCAGCGAGTACCAGCCACAGACTTTAAAAATGGGTAGAATAAAGCCATCCCGACCAAAAGGTGCGTGAGGGAGTCGTAAAGGCTAAAGCAGATCGGCTGGTTTCGTCGTTGTATTTTGACGGCTCTGACAAGCTGTGCATGTCTTGAAGTACTGTCGTACGATTTTCGGAAGTTTCCGCCAGTAGTATTTGTCTATGATCCGTGCCAGGGAACACGCGAAGCCAAGATGTCCTGACAATGGCTCATCGGGACAAGCAGAGAAAATTTCATCGCGGATAGCACGAGGAACGACGAGGAAGTAAACTGTTTTAGTTGTATGAATGCTGCGCTTGTAGAGGATGCCTTGGCGTGGACAGAAAGATGGCAAATCACGCGCAAACTGACGGGAGGGCTCTGGGTGATGTCCCTCGAAGTATTCGATTAGAGCTTGTAGTTATAAGTTGTCACATGGCTACTCAGCCGTGTTTAATGATGTAAGAATAGCAAGGCAGCTCAAGTCTTCATCCTTGTCTGCTGCAGCGATCTCGACGGATGCGCGGCAAAGACAGTCATCGTCGGTGTGTTTCTGGCCAGACTTGTAAACCATCGTAATATCGAACTCCTGTAGCTGAAGGCTCCATCTTGCGAGACAGCCTGAAGGGTCTTTCAGATTCGCTAGCCAGCAGAGAGAATGGTGGTCACAGGCGATTTGGAAGGGGCGGCCGTACAAGTAGGGCCTGAATTTCGTTTCAGCCCATACAACCGCCAAACATTTTTTCCACTAGTCGAGTAGTTCTCCGCAGATGATAACGTGTGGCTAGCGTAGGCGGTGACTTGTTCCACGCCATCTTGATAATGCACGAGAATATCTCCGGGGCCAGGGTTACTCGCGTCAGTGCGGACATCTGTGTCTGCTTCGGTGTCGAAGTGACCGAGATTCGGTGGTGCTTATAGGCGTTGTTGAAGGTCGCGGAAAGCGTCAGATTGTTTTGGACCCCAGACGAAGGCGACGTCGTCCTTAACGAGTTGTAAAGGTTCGGCAATTTTCGAAAAATTTGGCACGAAGCGGCGGTATTGGGCACAAAAGACCAGAAAGCGGCGTACATTATGCTTTGTTCTAGATATCGGGAACACAGCAACTGCTATCGCCTTCTCAGTGTCGGGTGAACACCACTGCTGCTGACAATATGGAAAAGACATTTGAGTTCCTTTTATCTGAAGTAACACTTTTCCGGTTTCAGAGAGAGGCCGGCAGTGCGAAAAGCCAGAAGAACCGCCTCAAGCTGCTCAATGTGCTGTTCAAAAGTCGTAGAATAAACGATTACGTCGTCTAAATACACTAAACTAGAGTGCCACTTCAGGTCACATAAAACTGTGTCCATAATTTGTTGGAATATGACTGGAGTGCAGAATACGCCAAAAGGGAGAACTTTAAATTCATAGAGACCGTCAAATGTAATAAATGCCGTTTTCTCTCGTTTTTGTTCATCTACTCCTATCTGCCAATACCCGCTACGGAGATCCGTGGAAAAAAAGTAATGGGCCTGCCACAGGCGATCCAAGGTGTCATCATGCGAGGAAGAGGATATACGTCTGTTTTCGTTATCATGTTCAGTTTGTGGTAGTCGACGCAGAATCGTGGTGAACCATCTTTTTTTTAACCAGAACAACTGGTGACGCCCAAGGACAAGTCGATGGTTGAATTTCGTCGCCGTCGAGCATTTGTTTTACTTGATGACAAATGGCGTCCTGCTCCTTCTGCGACACGCGGTAAGCATGTTGGCGCACGGGTTGGACGTTCGGCTCAGTGATAACTCTGTGCTTCATTAGAGGGGTTACTGTACTTTCGACGTAGTGGCAAAAGAGTCACTAAAGGATGAGAGGAAACTGAGGAGCCTTGGCCTCTTAGGCTCTTCTAACTGACGATTGACGTTGAGGCGTTTAGTCACGTCAGTATCACAGCTGTTCTCAGTCGAGATTGTCGTAATCAAAGCGAAGGCGTCCAAATCATCCAATGCCTCTAAGTAAGCTATGGTTGTGCGTTTGGCAAAATGCTTGTATTCGCCACTGAAGTTCATAACAAAAAGCGTGGTCTGGCCATTTCGGAGTTGAACGAGACTTCAAGCAATGGTGACTTCCCAATCAAGCAATAACGTCAGGTTACTTTCGGCGATACCCGTAATTGACTGCTTCCGTGGACATTCAACAAGCAAAAAGAAGCTACTGCGAGGTGGCAACGTGACGCAATCATCAACTACGCGTAAGGTTACGCCACAATCTTGGTTCTCGATGTTGGAATCTGGAGAAACACACTTAGCCAAACTGACGAACAAGTCACGCAGAATAATTATCGCTCCATACTCTTGCAGGGAATCTATGCACAAGATGACCGCCCGAGAACAATTGGGCAGTTCAAGCAATGACGCTACAAAAGCCTACGCACAAATCTCAAGCCTGGCGGTGCACCTTCCTATAGGGGATACGAGGTGTCCTCCAGTGATGATTAGTTGAGGGCCGTCCCACGTTGTCAGCACCTTGTGTAGACGGGTGGTCAACGAAGCACTCATCACCGAGTAGTCAGCTCCCGTGTCGACATGCGCAGTCACCGGATAACAGTCGACAGAAACGGTAATGGCAGCGGACGTTCTTTTGGCGGTTTCAGAAAGAGGCTTTAACGGTACGTCGTAAGGCAGCGGCGGACAGTATTTGGTGGTTCACGTGAGAGCGGCCTCACCTCCGAAGGTCACCGTGTTTAGTTTGTCTGGCGTAGGCTTGCGCCACTGACACCAGGGGACCCAAAGGCGGATCGGGCGCAGTGTGTTGATGCGGACGGATGGGGTTATGATGATCGTGACTGTCGTCGCGGTGGAACAGGAGCGTGATGGCTACCTTTCAAGTAATCCGCACTTTCTCGTGCGCGCTCACCATAGCGCGGACAACAGGAATCTGGATTGAATCCAGGTAGGCCTACTCGTCATTAGTAACTGTCACGGTACATGTGTCTAACTTCGCCACAATGGTAGCACAAAGGATGATTGTCAGGTACTCACCAGACAGTAGACTTCCGAGAGCCAGGACAAAAATCAGCCTGAGAAGGTGGGCGATGGGCTGGACTTGGTAAGCGTCTGGAGTTCCC